TGAGTTCAAGTTGTCTGAGGCGCGTCCACACTTCGCGATTCGATCGAGGCTAATGCCGTTTGGACGCGCTGATTTTTGTCTGGCGAGCTCATTTTTAACTAAATCACCAAATCTGCTGGTAATCTAAGAGGTAATCTAACATTCTGATTACGGCTATGACATTCATTCTTGGCGCTGGCGCTAATGGAGAACACTACGATTATCTGCCCTCTCCAGCTGAACCAGAAGATAATCGTAGTGCCCTCCATTAGCGCCAGCGCCAAGAATGAATGTCATATTTGTGAACAGGATGTTAGATTACCCCTATATACAAGTTTTCAGCGGATTTGGTGATCTAGGCACTTTAAAAATGAGCTTGCAGCCAAAAGTCAGCGCGTCCAAACGGCATTAGCCTTCGATCGATTTACTCTTCCCAGACGGTAATCGCTCGGCTGTGTTCGACGGCAGTTCCACCTGTGATATTTGATCCAGTAGGGCGACTCCGAGACGAGCCTGAATCGCTAGTAGTGAACTATGAACGCGGTCAAAAAATGCTGAGTTGCTAACAGGGCACATCGTTGTTGGTTAATCCCCAATAGGGGGGGGGTCGTATTTGGGCTGGGAAAAATTTATTTTGATAGTTGATTTTTCTCGCTTCGCGGAAGTTGTAAAGCTGGGGGGGTCCGTATTTGCTCATTGTTGGAGAGGGGGAGGTCGTATTTTTACGTTTACCACGTTCGTCAGGGAGTGGTGGTGACTTTTGGTGATTTTTCCCTGCCTCTTCGTGCGTGTTATTACGCCCCACCATAAAGCAAAAATTTTTGAGGGAAAAGTAAAGGGATTTTTTCCGGGAAAATCTTTCCCGAAAACAAGTGGCAAGGAGGTTGGGAAAATATGAAAATTGGACTAGAAGGGGGGGAGCGGTCGTATTGTTCTGGCGCGCTTTTCCAGTTTCAGATGTGCTAGTTAGCCCTCGCCCTTCCCCCTCAGCTCGACGGCTCGATGCGTAATGAAGGGGACAGAGGGGGATCGTACCAAATCAAAAATTGGGGGGGGTCGTATGGTTTCGACCAAAATCCCCTAACCAATTATGTGCCCTGGTTGCTAATCAGTTGGCTCTCATCAGTGTTGTAGAACTAGCCGCATTCACACCGTGGTGTATCAGGGGGGATGGATTGAGGACCGTTGTGTTGGTCATGTTGTTTCTTCCTTTTGTTTGTCGTTGTGTAAGAGCCGCGGTTGTGAAGGAACAACGAAGGTTCGTCTAGAGCGGCAAAAGGAAGCAAGTCGTGGTTTTGGGTGTCTTCTTTTTCTGATCATTTGTTTTTCTTGTTGTCTATTTGTCCTTTTATCAGTCCAGTCTCCTAGTTCCTCTGCACTTTCTCAAGATTCACTTAAGTGCACCTGGGAGCACGGTGCATTACTTGAAAAGTGGCGTCATGTGCCCATCAGGTACCCGCCTATGTTGGTGTCTAAGCGGCGTGCGGAAGGGTGGCGCCTTTATGCTATTCGAGAGAGAATTGTTCTCCCTCTTAACGGTGGTTCAAAGTAGAGTGAGGATAAAGTTTATCCTTATAGCACGAAAAAGCGTGTGGTCGTGCTCGTCGACCAATACCTAACTGATGTACTCGCCCCGCCCCCTTAGGAGCGGGTGCGGTGGCGGGTTCTGGCTCAAAGGCGCCGAGAAACACGCTATTCGATTCTAATATTAGGTTTGTCATCGGCCACTCACCGATTTCAAAGGTCGGCAGGTTCTGTTTACAGTGCCGGGCGTGGCGCAGTTGTCCAGCGGTTCGAAACAACATTGTAGGGTGGAGAGAAATAGTGAGCCCCCAACAGTTGCGCGTAGATCAGCGCAGCCAAATCCCTGCGATCAAAACCCTGAAGTTCGCGTTGGCTGCAGTCGCTGCGTGGTAACTTACGACACACCATCAACGTTTGACATTTGGCTTGAACTCCTACCGTGCCGCAGAAGATGCACGCGCAGCGATTGCGACGCCGCGCGGGCATATGAGATGGCGGAATTATCCAGGGCCTTCAGGGCAACACCGGGGGATTTCAAAACTAAATTTAACAACGACGCAAGTTTATCCTTTTCCGACATGCGACTGGTTTTTCGTTGTATTGGATGTCAATCATTTGCAGGCTGGCCATATAATAAGCTCCTACAAGAAATTCGATGCTACTCCACTTCGCAGTAAGCCAGCCGTCAGCATGAAGCATCCCACTCCAGTCAGTTCCTAGGCAGCTGAGACTATTCTGCACGATGTTTCATGAAATGTGTGAAATTTTGAGGAGGATGAAACGGAGGAGTCAGACGAACTCACTCCTGTCAGCTGTGGATATCGGAAAATCTGTCCAGCTATGACAACATGCTGCGAAGTCTTCAAAGATGGAGAGGCTCATAGTATGTGCTGCCCTCTACAGGACGTAAGTGGATATAATTCGATTATTTAACTGAACTCTATTTTTTTCGATACACAACCCGAAACAATGAACATAGCATAGTCATTTACGGTCAGGGTTTTCTCCTCGGTAACTTACAAACATGTTCCATGATGATCGGTAGGGCGGGTACTGATATCATTGCTCGTTCGTCGTTGATGTGCCCCACCCTCCTGCACTGCCATTTACCCTTTACTCCCACTTTTTTGGAAATGTTCTGATCGGAAACTTCCATTAGGTAAATTTATTGTATCAGATGTGCTGAAAGCTTGTCCCGAAGGGTTTTTGACCTCTTAACACGAATATCACATTTGCTTTGAAACGCCAACCAAACTTCATGTCCCAGAGCTGGGAAGGGGTGCGTGGGTGCATACACCACTTGAACATGGCGGCGTCTGCGCTTCTTGTGGGGGCTCGTCTCGAATGGAAACATCCCACGAAAAACACACCATGGGCCAGAATACCTCCTGTGCCGTTCAGGTGGAGTTCGCAGCCCTGCGTGACATAAAGGGTAAGCACGCTACTGGTGGCGACGAAAAAGTTGACATGCGTCGGGGCAGGCGTCGAGCGTTTTCACTCCGAGCGGATGCAGTAGGCCGGGAGCCACAGTACCCGAGGTAGAGTTTTCGCCAAGTCCATCAATGAACAAAAAGTTCGACCAAAACTCCGCCTGACTTTGGAAGTGTGGGACGGTAAACGGCAAATAGTGCTTCCTCTGATATTGCAAAGAGAAGGAACGTGCAGGGTTTGCGTCTCTGCCTACTCAGTCACTACAGAATTTGTATTTAAAGGCAGTTGGCATGGTTTCCTACTTAGCCTAAAATGCTAATAGGGCGCTGTATAGTGGGGAAATGGCGAAAGAACGGAGTGAAACGGTCAAAATCCTGCGAAGAAAAAGCCTCCGTTCTCACGTGACTGTTAGTAATCAATTTTGGACGAGTTTCACGTAGGCATCTTGCCAATAAAACGCGTACCGACCACCGGTTAACGGCCTGCAATATGTGTATACTCATATATCCATGCAGCAATCACGGCGCCGCGCTCACCAATTCTTCGCGTCATAATTTAGCCTAGAAATGACCGATATTAGAGGCGTCGAGAACGGTCGTCCATTTGTGGGCGGGCGCGGGTGGGATGTAAAGATTGTGGCCTTGACTAAGAGCCCGCTTATAAAGACCTTCCTCGGGAAACCGCATGCCCAACACCTGCCCAGCTGCGTCGCTATCTCCGACAATATTGATCCTAGTGGTCTTGGGGTTATAGCGTATCCCCATACGTGCCTTTAAGCTCCCCGAGTCTCTCTCTAGTGGGCGCCCACTTCTCTTTCGTCAGTTCGTGCTCACGCCCAATGAACCCAACGAGGATCAAACTGCGCACCCCTAACTGTAATGAATACAGTCTCATGGGTATTTTGCTCTAGTTTTCCTAACGAAATCAAAAGTCCACTGGATTTTCAGGGCCCAGTGTGCTGTCGAACAATACCCTGGTTTCTCCGGAGAGTTACCATTGTCGTCGAGAATGGTCGCCTAGTAGAAAAGAGGCTGATAGAAAATCTTGAGTGATTCTCATATTCGAAACTTCTTTAATGTCTGAATTCAATAAAATTTTTTAAGGAAATGTTGAAGGTTCATCGAAGGAATCCTCTGATGAGTACGTCTTCAAATATAAAATGTTTAAGAAATGCCTATAGTAGAAACAGGAGCGGCAGTAGTGGCTAACCGATAGATGCACTCATGGACTGGTTGCACCCGATAAGACGTCTGTTAGGCTGGCGCCCTGCCCCCACCCCCACCCACTCCCTTCGCGCTCCTCCGCTCGCCCAAGTTTCCTGCCTTTGCCTGTTCTCTCATGACTCCATCCTACTCTATATAATCCGCTAAGTATGTCGTAGTGTCGTTGCGTTGTGTGTATATGTAGTTGTACGTTGTGCTGTGTGCCGCTCCTGTCCTGTGTTGTCACGAAAATTCATGGCGCCGCGTCCAGGTAACATGTGAGACATTGATTTCAAGAAAGTGATGTAGGTCGGTGTGTACGGGAAACACCA